TAGAAAATATAATAACACCTCCCCGAAAATAAGGCCAAGCGCTTATTTCGGGGGTCAAAAGAAAATAAGACCTTGTCTTATTTTCTCGGAAACACGGTCTGTGAAACCAATTACAATCAGAAGATTAGCAACTGATTTTCATTCTGCCTAATTATATTTTCTAAACAGAAAGCATTATATCTTAAGTTAACTTTAGGAGATTTGGATGTGATTTGGTTTGAGTTACATTTAAACTTGTCAAATCCAGCTTTAACTCTGACATCTTTATGACAAAGAAACAGCAAGGGGTTTTACATCAAAATCAACTTGCAACTTTGATATCTTACAAATCTAGTTAGAATGAGTAACGTATATCACAGCTGTGAAATGATACAACCAAAATTTCCATTTGTTTCCAGGGCTCTTGGCATTGATTCAAACAGTATTTACACATTGACTTTACAACTATCCGTATTAAAAGTTAAAAGTCCATGGTATAGAATTTGTCCCCAAAATGAAAATTTTAAAATATCAACATTTGTCTTCCTTTTTAGTAACATTTTCTATTTTCATTTTATGGGTCTTGTAGAAATATGACTTATGTATGTTAGTGGACTTGATATAATAAAAAGTAATTTGTTTAAAACACTATTAAGCTATAACCCACTTTTCATTTTCTAGTAAGTATCATATTTTTCGGAGTATAAGACGCTCCAGAGTATAAGACTCACCTTAGTTTTTGGGGAGGAAAATAAGAAAAAAAAATCTGCTTCTGCCTACCACTATCCATCGGTATTCATCTGACTACTGTCCTCTGGTCAGCTTCAGCACATTAGCCTGATTCAGCATGAGCAGCTGATTGGCGGGTGAATCAGCCTCCCGGAATACCCCCAATCAGCTGTTCCCAGAGGTGAACTTTAGCAACCGGTTCACTGGTTGTGAGCATGCAAGCTACACATGCATGAACCTCGTTGGGGCAGATACGCAGCTTAAAAAATGCAGCTGATTGTCACAAGGCACTCCAGTGAGTACAGCAGGCGAAGCGCGGAACTGGTCCAACAAGGCAGCAGTTGTTCCGGGTTAACATTTTGGCCTATGTGCCTTGCTTTTTCACCCTCCAAAAGCTCCATTTGGGAGGCTGTCTTTTCACCCTCCAAAAGATCCATTTTTGGGGAGATGGTCTGTGGCAATCCCTGCAGCCTGGAACAGGTATAAAATGCGACAGGCGGAGGCTGAAGGGTGGGGGCTGGCGGGTGAGCAGGGCTACATTTGGTGTATAAGACGCACCCAAATTTTCACCCTCTTTTTTGGGAGGAAAGTGTGTCTTATACTCCGAAAAATACAGTCAGTGCACCAAGTTCAGTGAACATTATTTTCTGTAGGGATGGTATGGAAATTTCAGAGAAGATGCAAAGACGTAAGTTGGTTAAGCTAGATTCAAGGGTATCCATTTGAAAAGAAGTAAGATGTTGATCCACGAAGTTGGAATACCATATACCGCACTACATATAGAAAATATTTATTTGAAATCATGGAAATGTTTAGAAATTTCTATGCAAAAAATAAGAAAAACGTAGCAGTTTTTCACTCTTATTTCAATACGTTGCTTTAATAAATACAGATTTGTTTCTTTTATGAACATTCAGATTTTTGACGGTTCAGATATTTGCATTTACATCACAATAACATGCAGCTGACTTTTTAATTACTTTTTTGAGTCCTTGCACGATTAATGCAATTCATTGTATATTTAGAGAGCTATTTTTCCCGTTTCAAAGTGAAAACGGGAAAAATTGCTGCTGAGGACCGAGGACTTATACGGACAGAATTTTTGGAAGAATGGTAAAAGTTCACACCAAGTTGCACACATTAGACATATGACATGTTTGTTTGTACTGTGCATAATACAGAATGATTTAGATTCATACTAGTAGCCCATCTTACCAATCAATCCCCCTGTGGTAGTTATTTCTATTAAAGAACTGTACCTCCTCAAAGGTTTTGGGGCTGGGGGAGTTACTGATGATGGAAGGATGCATAATCAGGAACAAATATAAAGCCGTTGTGCCTGCAAAAAGAGTAACAGTCCAAGAGTTGAGTTGACACTTCTGCATTCTGTCAATCAGATCCTTATTTCATGTAGGGTTAAACAGCTCCTTTAGCAAGCATCATCGCATTTACACTAGCAAATAAAACAAAGTAGAAAGCAAACAAAGGATGAAGGCAAATATACGTATCCCAGGACAAGGTTGCAAGATCCAATCTCAGTCGGTCATCAGGACCGGAGGTTCCGGATAACCTCTAGTCCAGTGTTTCTCAACCTTGGCAACTTGAAGATGTCTGGACTTCAACTCCCAGAATTTCCCAGCCAGCATTCGCTGGGAAATTCTGGGAGTTGAAGTCCGGACATCTTCAAGTTGCCAAGGTTGAGAAACACTGCTCTAGTCCAAGGGACCGACCCAGATTGGGGATCTTGCAAAACAAAAGAATTTTAAAGAAAAACAAGCATGTATAAAGAGCTTTCTTTGCTGAACAAAAGTAAGTTTCCTTTGACTAAGTTTTCTTTGATTTTTTTTATTATTCAAGCATGGGAGAAGAAATCAAGATGCATTGCGTTAACGTTTTCGTCTAAAACATTGCAAAGACACTGAAAGGAAAGAAAAGGATAAAGGATTCAACCCTGGCAAGATGAAGCAGTTTGGCTTTTCGCCTCCACCCCAGGCCCTGGAAATATGTCATCGCTGACTCTGGATGAGGGGTGCTCTTTCTGGATGAGCTGGTGTTAGAATTTGGAGGTTCTCCTAGACCAGGGATGTCAAACTGGTGGCCCTTGTTCTGAACTAGGCTTCCCAAGAGCATGAAGCAAACTCCTTGTCCCGACAAAATTACTGTGAATTCTGCTCATTCACATTCAACGAAGTCTTTTGAGGGAGGATTTACAGTCACAGACCTTATCTGGCTTGGAGAGCTGCCAGGCCGATATCTGCAAAACTTGGCAAGGAGTCTCGGAGANATTATTATTATTATTCCTCATTCACATTTTCTAATGGAGCTCCAGAATATATTTGACAGAAGAAGCAACAAAAAAAGTAGAAGAGGTGTAAAAAGACTATCACTCAGAAGAGAAATCAAATGAGGCAGATATAAATTTACATCTTAATGAAGGAGCATATGATTTCCACATTTCAGGTTTAGTATTTGGAATCTCCAGGATAGAATAGATTTATTTTTTTTGCCAGAAAGTTCTTGCAAGTCCAAAGCAGATTAATAATTCTTCCAATTTGGCACAGTGTAACAGAGTTATAAAGAATAGATACAAAATTATAGAGAATACATTTTAAAATGTCTTAATCAAAAAGTTTGGCACATAGAAGACAGACTGTGTTATTAATTCTAAGGATTTTCCAAGTCAGAAAATTAAACTCTAAGAATTAAAATGCATACATATGGATTGATCTTTCTTTCTTCCATACATAATTTTTGTGATGCATAAAATTTTGCTAACATTCACATTTATGCTTATATATCAATGATTGTCATGATAATCTATTGATAATACATAACAATGATTATCTTGTTTGATGCCAACATGGTATTTGATTTCATATACAGTATTGGCTTGATTTGCATATTGTCTAAGTCAACAATCGGCACATTTCCAGAAAGGAATAAGTAATAAATTGTCTTTGCCTTCTCACAAACACAACAGTGGGGTGTTTAGGACAATCACTGGGTGTTCTAGGTTTACACTACCTCGTTGTATGGATTATATTTAGAACGAAATTGCACCACGTTTGGTGTCATTGGTTTCAATGAAATTGGTTGGTTATTTGCTGGCTTATAAACTGAAATAAGGATATCTAAGGTTAAAATAATTGAAAAAAAAGTGAAAGTGCTGGAACAAAAGAAAAGCTTTTGGGGGAAAAGAGTTGTTTTAAATTGAAATATGTTAACAAATCGTTTTGCATAAGAAAAAAAGACGAGCACTGGATTTAGATGCAGCTGGTAATAATTAACAGTATTTCAGGCCAAGAGCTCTGAAGGAAAAGAAGTGGAAAGCTGAACAGAACTGTTCTAGAAGTGAATTTGATCTATTTTCTCTTTAAAATCATCTTTATTTCTCAGTAAATAAAGTCAATTTTCTATACAGGCTGCAAGAAAACAAAACAAATTAAAAAAAAAACCACAGCTGACTCAAGAGACATGAAACAGAGCTAGGAATGGACACCACATTATTCTGAGTCTTTCTTAGGAGAATCCATAAAAAGACACAATCCAAGGTTATCAATCTCATTTTAAGGGCGAGTGAATAAATGTTTTAAGTTCAAGTGGTCTCTGTGTGTAATTATTTATTATAGACCCACTGGATGCCATGTGAATGAGCTAAGCATTGGATTTTTCTATCAAAGGAAAAAGAAAATGAGTTCTGATTCTTCTTGCTTTTGGATGAAAAATCTTTTGCTGTAAGTAAGCTTCTACATTTAGGCAAGACAAACAAAATGCACAGGTACAGTATATGTGGTACCTT